CTCAATCTTTCGCCAATGGATCTTTGGTTTTGCGACCGTGAGACCTTGGTCTTCCGTTTGTAGGCCCTCCTTAACTGCACTCTTTTGTACTTTTTGTCTGTTTGATTTGCTCGAGATTCATGTCGAGGCAAATCTGATGTACAATTAGTTAAGCTATATTTAGCTATTATGATATTTATGGCATATATTCTCATTCAATCAATGTGTTAAAGTGTTATTCGGGGTCGTTTGGTGCATTATTTGAGAGATAAACAACCAAAGTAGTCCTCAATTCTTTAGATCTGGTCTTTTTAATTTTTGAGTTTATAGACGTGTCAAAGAGTTCCCAGACTCCTTAAATTGAGGCTGAAATAATCCCCATGAAAGGCTACTATGACTCAATCTTAAAATAATTGGAGACAATTTTGACACTTCTATAAACTATGAGACTAAAACAACCCCGTGTAAAGAATCAATGACTATTTGACACTTTAATCATAATTAGAGGACATATAAGTTAAGTTTTGATATATATTTTTTTTAAATTTAAAAATCTATATTTTAATAATTGAAAAGCTTAATTGATTTGTTAGCTTTCCTTTTCTTTCATAATTAGGTCTCCTATTGGTTTGGTCAACAACCCATTACCATAGTTAGGCGGCATATGCTTTACTAATATTGGTTAGCTGAACTAACACACAATATAAAATATTACTTCATCAAATAAAATAACTAAAATATTAATGCACCTAAAAAATAAATAAAAGGACCAATCAATTTTTTTTTTTAAATGTTAAATATATAATGAAAAATTATATTGCTTTATTAGTATAGTGTTGACTACCTCTTAGGAACTTTGTCCATATTAATTATAATCATTAAATTCATAATATTAGGAAATTATATGATTTTTTTAGCTTGTTATGAGCTAAGATTAGTCTATAGTTTTATTTGATTTTCATGTTTGATTGTTTATCTAGATTTTTTGTTTAAATAAATATAATGTTTTTTTTTATTTATTTATATCTTTAAATTTAGTTAGTGACGAGAAATAGTTAGGATATTTTTCTCATAAATTTATATTTAAAAAAACAATTGCAATCCTATCTAACTACTATTTTTTTTGTTTTTTTTAAGAAAAAAATAATGAAAGTATTACGTCATTAACAATCCCATCATCTCGCGGCATAATAAATATTTTAGGATAATTTTTTGAGCAAGAAATATTTAAAATTTGATTGAAATTCATCCAGAATTTCGATTTCAGCAAATTTACAGTAAAGCTGACTGACTAGATGAGACGGAGTCCATGATATAAAAAATGGTCCAATTTGAACCAAATCAAACCTCAATCAAGCCATTAAATTATTATTGAAAGCTTTTCAAACATATTTGGGTTGTTAATGGATTTTGAATTTGACGAGCTTATAGTTGAATTGAGTGTCTCAGCAAGACATATCCAACGAGCTCAAGATCACTTAATTCAAACATCGGTATGACACTCAAATGTCCATCAAACGCAATCCAATCGATGAAATCTCTTTGGGTCGTCCGATTAGAATGACTTATATTTTTTCATTAATTACAATCAGGACACTATAAATAGAGCAATTCACCGAGCTTGAAATATAAATAAGACTGAAACTTTTGGAGAATGAGCTGACAACTAACAACATTTCTACTCCAATGATATGGCGAACTCCTGCTACAACTGCTGCCGCCAACCACCATCAACTATTATTCGTTGGCCATTGTCGATCACAATTTGTCTCTGCTGACTCAATGCGACGAAGCACCATATAAAACAACTTACGAAGCGGTGCACCATTACGGATATCGTGCCGACCCGGAAGACGGTGCATCGAAGCTCTGAATTAACTCTCCTTCTTGCTGCAAGGCAGCAAATTCATCTGCACTCCAAAGCTACAGCTCGGGAGAGTGTAACATTTTCCCACATATTGGACAAGGGGTGGCTCCGGTAACCTCTAACTTATTGTGGCTCTCTTCAAATCGGTCAAGCCCTGTTGGTTTTTCCTTTTTGAGGTTTTTCATGTAGAAAATCTTTTGGCATTTCTGTCTATCATTTATATTACTTAAGTGTGTTTTTGGGTTCTCTTGTGACGCCAAGACATTAGTTAATCACTCTACCACTGCGAATACACTTGCACTCATAAAAATGAAATAGTTTTATAACTAGTTCTAATGGAAATTATAGGAAAGGTGATAACTTTTTTTATTAGAAGGGAAAATGTTTAGAACACATTATTGATGCGTGCTAGAAAATTCATAGTGGTAGAGTAATAAATTATCGTCTTAGTATTGCACAAGAATTTAACATACACTCAGGTAAACAAAAATAAATAGTAATGACAATAGAAGTTTTTATGTGAAAAACCGGTAAACGGAAAAAATCACGGGGCCTAGCCCGGTTGTAAAAAATTCACTATAGAGACCCCTTGCCTTACAGACGTGAAATGACTACTATGATTTCCAAGTTACAACATAGATTGACAGCTTATGGTCCGTGGTGGTCAACGGGTGGGAGTGGGGCTTCATTTATAATGTTCTGAGTGCAATTAATGTATAAATATGAGTCACTTTGATTAGAAGGTCCGAAGAGATTTCTTCGATCAAACGGCGTGTGATGGACATTTGAGTGTCTTAACGTGTCGGAATTGAGCAATCTTGGACTCATTGGATTCATTTTGTTGAGACGCTAGATTCAACATTTGTTTAAACTTCTAAATAAATCTGAAAAGTTTCCAATAGTGGTTTAATGACTTGATTTGACTAAGATTGGACTAATTTTGATAATATTGGGTTCTTCTTGTTCTGTCGTTCAATTTGACTGTAATTTTGCTGAAATTGAAGTTCTGCATAAGTTTTTCTCAATGTCCAAATATTTCTTGCTCAAAAAGTCGTCTCGAATCTATTTCATTCCTCGAGATTTTATTGGGTTCTTCTTATTTTATTCCACATAAGCAAGATTATACAAATATTTTTTTTATGAAATGATAATAATATATAATTTAATTAAGAGAATCTCGCCATTTGGAAAGCCATAGCTTCACGTAAATTTAATTAATTCATGAATTACAAATACACCCTGAAGGGGTGTTTGGTCATATATATTTAACATGCATATATTTTTTCAAATACAAGATGACTATGAAATTGTGAACGCCGGCTTGGAGTCGGCTCACATTTGTTTATTATGAAAGGGAGAAATCAATATTAATTTAAGTTAGTGTTAAACAGAATGATAATTAGACACATAGCATCCGAAATAATATTATTTACAAAATCTAGCACCCAAAGTTATATTTTTAAACTACTGAATCGATGTATTCACGCATTCCATGATCAAACCATTGAAGAATTTGATAAAAATGAAAAGCATAGCGAGAACCAAGTTGCATTGGAATGTTGACCAAGTTGCATTCAACTGATAAAAATGAAAAACATAGCGAGAACCAATTATGCAACTGAACTCCACCTGTCGCAAATATTTTCATTTAAAAAAATTGAATATATAAGAATATATTCAAAACATAATTGAATTTTAATGATTGATGGAGCTCATCATAGATCAATACCAATTACAACATCTATCTAAAATCAGACAATAAAATAAGATACGTGACATTAAACAATTCAAAGCCATCAAGATGCTAGAAAAAAAGTGTATTAAAAAGACCAATGAAACAAAACAAAAGATCAAACAACACACAAATAAAACAAGACCTGCACCAAAAATCTATAACCAACAATAAAACCACAAACAAAACAGTCATACCAAACCAAAGATAAATTATATCCGAGATAAAAAAAAAATCAACAAGAAGTATTAAAAATTCCATCCAAAATTTTTTGAACATAAAAAAATATTCAAAAATATGGTTCAATATTAATATTCATATGGGAAACAATACAACTCATAAACTAGTTGCAAAAATAGAACGAATAAGACAACAAGAAATCCCAATTAACAAGGGTAAAACCAACAAGCTAGCAGAGATAAATATTTAAAAGAACATTCCAGACTGCCATCAAACAACCAAAAATAAAAAACTAACAATTCATTATCAAGCTGCTGAATAAACCAAAAAATAAAAAACTACGAAAAACTCAACTAAGTAGAGTAAACCCAAGTAGCAACTAAAAGAAATACAAAGAAAAACTCAAAAAACAATAGCTAGCAAGAACCAAAAAAAAAAAAAAAGATAAAGATAGAAATTAAAGTTTATAAACTTAAGTTTATAAGTTGGAATTGAATTTTTAAATTTCTATTTCCTGCTCTTATAAGAGATCAACCAATGAAAATAATGAATATTAGAATCTATAAAAGTGTGATGTTTCCCAGGCATCCTGACATTCCTCTCAAGCTATATTACATTGGCAACCACTTGTATAGCCAAAAGATAAAAACACTTAAAAATCTTGCAAGATAAACTATCAAAGTGATAAATAAGTTAAAAAATATTATCAGGGGCAATCAAGAAATTATCATTATGGACACAACTTTTAAGAAACTTATGAGGATAAAGACATTCAAAAAATAGATAGATCATTAGTTTCAAGATCATTCAAACATAAAATACAAGTAAGATTGACATGCATACCTCTTAAAGATAGAATATCACAAGTTTTGATTATGAATAACACATTTAAAAAAAAGTATCATTTAAACGAAACTAACTTAAACCAATTAGCCTGAGGATAAAAAAATACAAAAAGAAAGATAAATATCTTTGTGAGAATAAGCAATACTCTTAATTCAAGCACAAATAAGACCATTAAAAACAGGAATCATAATGATAGCATCTATACAAAAACTATTAGCTTGATAATTTAGAGGCAAATTCTAACAATTATTTTGGACAATCCAACATTTTGATGCACACAGTACATAAAACGGAAAGAAAAATATAAAGAGAGGGCGCTAGCCGTTGCAAGATTTTTGAATTTCCAATATTCGCGCACCAGCAGGCAGCAGCCGAATTAAAACATCACACATTTGAATCAACTCCATCTAAATTTCAATCTCCATCAATTCAACCGAAGAAGAGAAACATGGAAGGCTCTGCGGCAGAGTTCGAGATGCTCAAGCTCAGATCGACAGCAACAGAGCTTCTCCTAAAAGAAAACTGGTGCGAATACATCAACCTCTACTCCCGTTTCATCTCCTCCTGCGATTTCCCCCAAACTTCACAAAAAGAGGACGACGGCTCCCTCAAGCTCCGGCGAACTCTCTGCTCCGCGCTCTGCAACCGAGCCGATGCTTACTTCAAGATACGAGACCTCGACGCCGCGCTAATGGACTGCAACCACGCTCTCAAACTCGATCCTTTTCATTTCAAAGCACTAGTTTGCAAGGGAAAGATTCTCCTCGACCTCCATTGTTACTCGCAAGCTTCGGAATGCTTTCAACGCGCCAAGGCGCTTCCTCTAGCAGACAGTTCTCTCTCCCTGCTCTTGAAACGGTCGCAGAAGCTCGATTCCCAGTCGAAGACGGGCTTTATCGACCTCTCTGCTTGGGTTCTTGACGGATTCAATGGCGCATGCCCGGAGCTCGCCGAGTTCGTCCGCAACGTCGAGATACGCCGATCGGAGTCCGGCGGAGGAAGAGGGCTCTTCGCCACAAGAAGCGTCGAGGCCGGTACTCCGCTTGTTATAACGAAAGCTGTCGTCTTGGGGAGAGGTATTATGCCGAAATCCGCCGGTGGGGAAACTGCTCGCCTGGTAATGTGGAAAGATTTCGTCGATAAAATCATTAACGCCGTCCAAAAATGCAGTAAAACGCGAGCTCTGCTGTATACATTATCTACAGGAGATGGGGAAGACAGCGATTTTACAGTGCCAAAAATCGAACTTTTTAAGCCGGAATTCTCCATGGATGCAAAAAGCTTTGAGCTTGATGTGGAGAGGATTCTGAAAGTGTTAGATGTAAACTGTTTAACCGAAGAATCGGTGTCAGCTAAAGTAATGGGGAAGAAGAAAGAATGCTGCGGCGTAGGGCTTTGGTTTTTGCCTTCGTTTGTCAACCATTCGTGCTGCCCAAATGCCCGCCGGCTTCATGTCGGCGATACTATGGTGCTCTACGCATCAAGGGATGTGAAGGAAGGGGAAGAGCTCAGCTTTGCTTACTTCAATGTTCTGCTTCCATTGAATGAGCGCAGGGAGATGGCGAAGAGATGGGGGTTTTTTTGTAGCTGCGAAAGATGCAACTTTGAAGAGAAGAAGGAGCTGGAGTTAGGTGAGTTAAATGAAACGATGGAAGAAGTGGAAGATAGAGTGAGGAGATGGGGGTTAAAGGGGAAGGGAAAGGGGTATCTCAGAGCCTCGTTTTGGCCGGCTTATCGTAACGAGTCGGAGAAGTTGAAGAGGAGGAGAGTGGGGAGTAGGATTACAGAGGAGATTTCGGTGGCTGGCAGCATTTTCGATGCAGTGGGAGGAGATGAGAGGATAATGAGGAGTTTGTTGAAGAGGATGAAGAATGATAGGGGGTTCGGCCATGGAGTTGAAATGGAAGAAATGGAGAAGTTGATGAGAATGGCGAGAGGGGTTTATGGGAAGGTCATGAAGAGACGAGCCATGAAAGCTTTCTTTGAGCTTGAATTGGCGAGTACGGGCTGGTGAATTCTTACGCTGCGAATTGTGGTCTTTTGTTCTTTCTTACAGATCATTTTCTTTTTACTGATGCTAGGGAGACAGATTTTGTTGCAGTGTTTCTAATTAATTGATTTTTATTGGCCCTTTTGTAATTCTGGTTTATGAGATAATTAGTTTCATTTGCTATCTTTCATTCATTGTGAAGATCAATGACACATTTGAAAAATAAAAAAGGGGACATTTACTACGAACCACTCAATTCATATGTACACACATACTGTTGAATCATGTTAGGACGTTGGCTTTTGTACTGGCACATTCATCAATATCTCTCATGATTCTTCTGATACGTTGAATGAACTTGAAGAGAAAATTGCAAGGGTTACTATGATTCCGAGAAATCAAGGAGAGGTAATTTACTCGTTTCAATCCAAACTTGCTGGATGAAACTTTGCTTTATTTCATGTAATAATAAGGAATTTCTACAATGATTTTTTTTTTTTTCTTACTTGTGTATTTTCTTCCACATTGCACCAAATGAAGTTTGTAACCTCATATTTGACCTTTTTTTTTCTTTTAATTCTCTACCGTATTAATTCATAATTACTTTCTTTGTTTTCTTCCATTCTTTTTGTTATTTACTGTATTTGCTTTTAAGTTGAGACTTAAAAAGCTTGTAGCAACCCAGCTATTTCTGTGTTCGTATTTGCATTCTCAATTTTAGTGTTCTGCTTCCTTTGACCTAACAACCAGAGAGGAATAAATACACGGTAAACATATTTCTTCTTCTATTTAACTACAAAAAAGAAAAACAAAAAGTTATTTCAGAGCACACTGTGATATCTTATTTAATGCTTCTGCTTATTTTTAAATGCATTACTAAATCTTTAAGTGTTTATAAGCATATGAAGAAAATGTTGTAGAATGAAAGGCTTAAAATTATCAGCATAGTAGTCTTTTTTTGACAAAAGGGAGGGGTCGTTTATTTTAAATTTTTTATTTTTCTGAATTTTTGCACTAATAAGATTTTTATATTCAATTTAAATCAGAATGCACTATGTTTTCTTTTTTTTTTTTTGTTCAGTGATTCTAGCTTGATCATTCCTGCATTCTCTCTTCTCTGTGTGTTTTTTTCAATGCTTGATTATATCTTACTAGTTAGAAAGTGTAAAGCGTGCCTACATCAGAATACATTTGAGGGATATTCTTTGTTTGCATACATGCCACACAATTCTTATATTTTTACAGATTTAACACCTCAACATTGATATTTACATGCACGCCTCTCAAATCTTTGACATCACATAAAAAATATCACTATGTTTTTCAAATTTTTTTCTCTTTTGAGCTTTGGCATGCTCATGTTTCCTGTTACTTCGGAACTTTAGGAAATCATCGATGAGTTTTGGATATCATTATGTTGCAGGGCTTCTACATTCTCCGCTACCAGATTGGGCAGAGGTATGCTTCTCATTATGATGCATTCAACCCAGCTGAATATGGCCCTCAGAAAAGCCAAAGGGTACGAAGTTAACTTAACAATATTACTCTCCTATAATCTGAAATAATGTTTTTTTATTTAGTTGATGGTGCTCATTTTACTCTAAGTTGGCTTGGCTTGTTTTGGATTTTTGCTTGAAAAATTTAAAATTTGACCTGTAGGAATTTGTAATTCAGCGGAATGCTTTATTAATATGAAAATGGAATATAAATATAGCTTACACGAGTCCTCAACAACAACAACAAAGCCTTAATCCCACTACGTGGGGTCGGCCACATTCGTATTTGCATTCTCAATTTTAGTGTTCTGCTTCCTTTGACCTAACAACCAGAGAGGAATAAATACACGGTAAACATATTTCTTCTTCTATTTAACTACAAAAAAGAAAAACAAAAAGTTATTTCAGAGCACACTGTGATATCTTATTTAATGCTTCTGCTTATTTTTAAATGCATTACTAAATCTTTAAGTGTTTATAAGCATATGAAGAAAATGTTGTAGAATGAAAGGCTTAAAATCTTAAGTGTTTATAAGCATACGTTTTATATGAAGAAAATGTTGTAGAATGAAAGGCTTAAAATTATCAGCATAGTAGTCTTTTTTTGACAAAAGGGAGGGGTCGTTTATTTTAAATTTTTTATTTTCCTGAATTTTTGCACTAATAAGATTTTTATATTCAATTTAAATCAGAATGCACTATGTTTTTTGTTCAGTGATTCTAGCTTGATCATTCCTGCATTCTCTCTTCTCTGTGTTTTTTTCAATGTTTGATTATATCTTACTAGTTAGAAATTGTAAAGCGTGCCTACATCAGAATACATTTGAGGGATATTCTTTGTTTGCATACATGCCACACAATTCTTATATTTTTACAGATTTAACACCTCAACATTGATATTTACATGCACGCCACTCAAATCTTTGACATCACATAAAAAATATCACTATGTTTTTTTCTCTTTTGAGCTTTGGCATGCTCATGTTTCCTGTTACTTCGGAACTTTAGGAAATCATCGATGAGTTTTGGATATCATTATGTTGCAGGACTTCTACATTCTCCGCTACCAGATTGGGCAGAGGTATGCTTCTCATTATGATGCATTCAACCCAGCTGAATATGGCCCTCAGAAAAGCCAAAGGGTACGAAGTTAACTTAACAATATTACTCTCCTATAATCTGAAATAATGTTTTTTTATTTAGTTGATGGTGCTCATTTTACTCTAAGTTGGCTTGGCTTGTTTTGGATTTTTGCTTGAAAAATTTAAAATTTGACCTGTAGGAATTTGTAATTCAGCGGAATGCTTTATTAATATGAAAATGGAATATAAATATAGCTTACACGAGTCCTCAAATAGGACAAACATGAAAAAGGTAATAACAGGAAAGGAAAAAACATAATTTCTAATAATTACTTGAAGATAAAAGGAAAACGTAAAATAGGAAGGACAATAAATTCAATCCTTTTAACACTCCCCCTCAAGTTGAAGCATAAATGTCAATTATGTTCAACTTCTTCCTAGGTCTACCTCTGCCTTTCTTAAGTCCTCAAATAGGAAAAACATGAAAAAGGTAATAACAAGAAAGGAAAAAAACATAATTTCTAATAATTATTTGAAGATAAAAGGAAAACGTAAAATAGGAAGGACAATAAATTCAATCCTTTTAACACTCCCCCTCAAGTTGAAGCATAAATGTCAATTATGTTCAACTTAGATTTGAAATCGTCGAACAGTGGGTGAGGAAGCTTCTTTGTGTGAATATCGACCAGTTGTCCCATAGATGCAGCAAACATAATACAAATCTCCTCGGAATCAAGTTTCTTCTTAATAAAGTGATGGACAATCTCCCCATGGTTGCTACCCAATCCTTCTAACACTCCCCCTCAAGTTGAAGCATCAATGTCAATTATGTTCAACTTGGATTTGAAATCGTCGAACAGTGGGTCAGGAAGCTTCTTTGTGTGAATATCGACCTGTTGTCCCGTAGATGCAGCAAACATAATACAAATCTCCTTGGAATCAAGTTTCTTCTTAATAAAGTGATGGACAATCTCCCCATGGTTGCTACGATTATATTGGATTTGATTGTGAGCACTGGTAATGATGACTTTATTGTCAGAAAACAACTGCAAAGGAGCAGTGACTGACGTACGTAATTTATTGAGCATAATGTGCCGATAGAGAGCTTCATACGCATCCAAACTCATAGAGCGAAACTCGGCTTCAATATTACTACGGGCAACCACGGACTGTCATTTACTTTTCCAATTGATGAGATTCCCCCATGCAATGGAGCAATAACCTAAGGTAGCTCGTCTATCGTGGATGGACCCGACCTGATCAGTATTCGTATAAACTGCAACAGAGCAGAGGTTGTAACATGTGAACAACAAACCCGAGCCCAATGTGTCTTTTTAGTAGTGGAGGATCTGATACACCACAATAAGATGGTGCTCGTATGGACCATGCATAAATCGACTGACGATACCTTCGACGTGACAAATGTCTGTGCGAGTATGGGCGAGGTAAATGAGCTAACCCACGAGACGGTGGTGGTAGGTTTTGTTCACTGGAACGACGTGAGGAATATTAAATAATTTCTCAATTGGGTCCATCGAGATGACAATCAGTTTGCAAAAAAAAAAATTCATTTGGTCAATAAGTCTATGACATATTTGCACCGGGAAAGGCAAATGCCCCGAGAGGACCAGGCTACTCCCATGTCTAAGAAATACCGGACAATGCCTAAGTCTTTTATTTCAAAATATGTGGCGAGGATGTCTTTGAGAGACTCTAAGGCTGACAGATCACTTGTAAGTACAATATTGTCGACATAGACAATGAGGATGACAATACGACCATGGATGTATGCCAAAAATAATACCATATGATCATATTGGGCCTGAGAGAACCCATGACCCACTGCCAACTGCGTGAACTTGTCTAACTATGTCAGTGAGGATTGTTTCAGTCCATAGAGAGACTTTCATAATTGTCACACTTTTGCACGGGAATAAGTCAAGTCAAATCCCGGTAGGAGAGACATATAAACCTTCTCAGCGAGATCGTCATTAAGGAAAACATTCTAGACATCTAGTTGAAGTAAGGTCAATTCAAATTCACGGCTAGTGATAATAAGAATCGAATGATATTTAGTTTGTCAACTGGTGCAAATATCTCTTCATAGTCAACTTCATAAGTTTGAGTTTCGCAATCGATCGTGCCTTGTTGCTTTCAAAGGAACCATCGGAGTTAAACTTTATGCTGAAGATCTACCGACACCACACTGCTTTCTTCCCCCGGGAAAAATTGAACACATTCCAAGTATGGTTACACCAAAGAGTTTGATAACTAATGCTTGGATTTTGCAACCGATTTCTTTTCCGCACTAATATCTCTACTTCAATATTCTCCAAATATTGATTAGTTTTTGTTGTCAGATAGCTACATCTCTAATTTATTTATCAGATGTCAAGGAAGGAGGGGAAACTATGTTTCCTTTCGAGGTATGTGTGAAAAACTAAGGGAAATTTACATACCTAGCACATAATTCTTATGTATTTACATATCTCACACCTAAAGTTGTATATTTACATACAGAGTACTTTGGTGCTTCAAACCCATGCATGAAAAATGTGGGTCACTTTTAAAAGGTGGTAATAATACTTTTTTTGACGCTATATTAAAGATTTGAGTACTATCTATGTAAATTTGAAAGTTTCGGTGCGAGATATGTAAATGTATAAGAATTGTGTGCTATGTATGCAAATGCCCCAAAAAATACTTGTTTGTTCTTTGATGCCATATTCAATGTAGTACCATTATTCTGGCGAGGAAGCTTTATATGCAGAATGGCGCAAATATGGATATTGAGTATGATTACTTCAAGTGCATTGGTTTGAAAGTCAAACCTAGCCGAGGAGATGGGCTTTTGTTTTACTCTGTATTTACAAATGGCACGATAGATCCGGTATTGCACTTCTATCTCTTGTTCCAATTATATTATACAATACAAATATTTCTTTCCATGCAAATTATATATATTCAAAGCTAGATTTCATTCATTTGCTGTTCGAGGAAAACATATCAAGAGTTTATTTCTCCTTCAATTTCTCTAGCTACTTGTTCTTCATATGTGATATAGCTCATTAGTTGCCATTAAAGTCTACGATGACAGTTACTTGTGTTCGGAGTTGGAAAATTAGAATAGTGGATGAACTATTTGCTATATAAATTTCATGTAATGTGCCATACAAGTTAACTCCTCAAACTTGTAATAGTTTTTATATGAGTATGAGATCTTAAGAGAAGCCTTGACTATTTTTTTTCCACATTTACATTGAGTTTGCTGTTTCTCATAGATGTAAATAAGTTATTGAACTGCATTAAAGTTTTTTAGGTTATTATATTAAACTGCACTTTAGCTCAAAGGAAATCCAATTTGTTCTTGATGGAGGTAACTTTACAGGTACATAAACTGTACTTTAGTTCAAATGAAAGCTTTTATAAGTTTCATGACTGAATGAGTAAAGCCTGGTATTATACATCCAAGAACAGCACTTATATTATCATTTTTTAATAGTCAATTCTACCTTTTCATGCATAGGTAAAGTGCTATGCTTATAAATGTGAAAGTTTATATGCAGCTCCACAAGAATTGCATGCTTTTATATAAATTTCCCTTTTTTGTTTTTTCATTGCAGTACTACTATAAGAAGGGCTTCCTTTGTTGCTCTTCTGATGTCTATAATGATTGGATTGAAATGAATAAATCTTATTTAGAAATATTCATACGTCTCTCAAGAAGATCATTGAGATTATTTGTTCATAATCAAACAAAATGTAGAAAATGAAAATGTAAATATGAGTTACCATATGAAATCGGTGAGTTGAAGATCAAGAAACGGTTTCAATGAATAAACATATGATTTTAATAACATTTAATCATCAAATAAATTATCAGAGCATCTAAATCCAAAATTGTCATAATAATCTATCTATTAAAATATAAATAACCTATGATTATGATTGGATCAGATAAACAAGTTTAACCTTAGCCATCTCCAATACTACACTTGAAGCACGAGCATGAAAAGCTCCTTTATCCAATGTATAGCTAGCGACATGAAATTCAAAGAGTGAAGTATAAATGGCAAGACAGGGGGCATAAATATGAGCAAAAAAAAATGAATATGAATGAAATATTTGCTGTATAAAAGTAATTCTAAATGATATGTAAAAAATATAAGATTTTTCTAATTTAAATTTATTTTTTTATGCTCAATCAATAATAGAAAAAGAGAAATCTATATAAACAAGTGATCAATATTAAATATATTGAAATAACACAATTTTTTTAGAGAGTGAAATATTCTTTTTTTTTTTTTTGTAGAGTAGATTATAAGCACTAAAGCCCTGTTTATGAAACTACAAATTTAAAGTAAGACATGTAAATACATATGAATTTTGTGCTATTTCAGATAGGGCTGTCAAAACGGCTCGTTGTTCGCAGACAGCTCGTGTTCGGCTCGTTAAGAAACTCGTGTTCGGTTCGTTAATTTTGTTCGATAAGTTAACGAGCCGAACACGAACTAAGATGTGATTGTTCGTGTTCGGCTCGTTTTGGCTCGAAATACTACTCATCAAGTTTATATATATATTAAGTAGTATTTTAAAAAAATCTAATTGACTACAAGGCAGTATTAATTAATGAGATATGATAAAAATTATTAAATTAGATTCAAATGATGTTTAAGTATAAATAATAATTATTAAATCTTGTCCCAACCCTTAACAACTTATGGTTACGTGATTAAGATTATTAAAAGAACTCTTTGTTCATGAACAGCTCGTGTTCGGCTCGTTAATAACGAGTCGTGAACACGAACAGACTTTTTGAGCTCGAAATATAAACGAGCCGAACATGAGC